TTTTGTTTCTGCTCTGTACAATATGACACATGCATAGATCCACTGACTTTTCTCCAGTTAACTGCCACATGCAGAAGCCATTGTTTAGTAATTGTAGCCCCAGTACAGATGCCCTAATTTCCTCGGTTGTGTTAAAGCATATGTACCAAAGGCAGCACGTGCTGAAAACATAGCAAGTTGTGAAGGCTGCATAAGCATGAAAAATAGAAGAAGGGCTGGAGTAGAAATCATTTTCCTGTTTGTGTAAAGGTGACTGCGGGTGGTATGGCTTCCCCGCTGTATTATACACACAAGTTCAGTGTCTTTTTCTGTTTTATTTGACAGTGTGATTTAATCTGTGTGTTTCCGAGAGCTCATTTTGTGTGCCTGTGTTTGCATGTGTGTACAAATATATTTACGTCTGTGTAGAATTCATTTTGCTCATGCTGGCCTTTAGAGAAAATTATTGCAGAGATCATTTGTTTTTAAGGATGAGGTACTGTACAACGATAAAAGGTTGAGCGAATATTCATTGATGTGGCGAGAAAGAGGGGCAGATGATTTGAGGACAACTAAGCAGGCAGATAGTACCTCATTAACTAGTCTAATTGACTGATGATCATACACAGCACAGTACAAATATAGATCACAATTCGACTTCCGATATTTTAATGCCTCTGGTTGTGTTTAATTGCGAGAGAGGAGAGGAGGGTTAGGACAGAAGGTTGGTTGTCGCAGTGCCCACAGAGCAAGATCTTTGCAATGTTAGTATGATTGCTTTAAGGACCACTCAGTTGTGATAAATTGGAAATGCCAGTATTTGTCTTGGGGATTCTACAGTATAGCAGTTGTTTTTATTCTCCAGATAAGGTTTAGAAACTAAAACATGGGTGGAAAGTGCAATAGCAGCTCTACTGGAACCAGTTTTCCTTCTGCTGGCAACTCGGGTACTTGGAGCTCTGTTTTTCACTAAACCATAGCTTCTTACTTTAAATAAAAGACCATGGACATACGAGTCACTGTCAGCAGGAACAATCCATTTTCACAGACCAGTGCGTGGTTTGTCCTGTAAGCCGGTTGCTGTGATTATATTCCTGTATTCCTTTGTAGCCATACTGAGAGAAAATGGAGCGGCAGTGAGAGGAAACACTGTCTACCTCATTAGCAGAAGTTATGACAACTGCCAGATGTGTTAGCAGCACAACCCAAAGGAGAACACTTAAGCAGTGTCTGAAGTCAGAACACCCCTTAAGATTGGATAAATAAAGGATTCCTCTTATATCTTGTCTGCTTATGTAACAAATAACCTTGCCGCACATCTCAGTAATTGCAGGTCTGCAGTATATAAAAGCCATATTTCCAACTTTTCCAAATATTTCTTTTTCCTTCCTTCACTTAACAGGGGACCCTCCGGTAGGTTTCCGGGATGTGTTGCTACGTGACGGTCCTGAGGGCTTCGCCAAGGCCATCCGTGCCCACCAGGGTCTGTTGCTAATGGATACTACCTTCAGGGATGCTCACCAGTCGCTCCTGGCAACCAGGGTTCGAACCCACGACCTGAAGACGATCTCACCATTCGTCAGCCACAACTTCAGCAACCTTTTCAGCATGGAGAACTGGGGAGGTACGTTTCAGTGTGCTGAATGCATGCCTTGGTCATTTGGAATATTTATTGTCACAGCGAAATAACCTCATAACTCTACATAAAACCACAGATTATCCTTTTTTACAGTTTGGGTTTTGTCCAGATGAATGGTTTTCTGTGTAAATCAGTGGGCTTTAAGCCTGGCTTGTGGCTTCCCCCTGCTTCCAGTCTTTATGCTGTAGGTTAAACTAATCATCTCCTCGCTCCAACTTAATTTTATATCATATAGATATAGAGTGGTATGGATTGCCTCATCTAATTCTTGAGTAAGAAAGTGAAACCTCTAGATTTGTCAACATGTAATCCATGTTGACAGTGGTAATACCACCGACCTATTTCTGTCCAGCAGGACAGTGGTTTCTGATCTGTCTCCTCAGTCCATTATGTCATATTACTTTGCTATCAAATTTGAAGCCATAACCTGTCTATTAACTTAGCTTGTTTCACTGCTGCGACAGGCCCTGTTGAAGTGTGAAAATTGTACCAGTGATTTTAACACAGTCTCTTGGATTCAGTTGCACCTCTCACTACCAAAACCAGACACTCAGGTCTTCACTCTGGTTTACTGAAGAAACACATGCTCATAAGTACGCCTGCTGGAACTTGGTACACAAATGGCAGGAATCTTAATGGGTGGCATATAGGTCTGTTGGCAGTTTTCTGTACTTAAATAAAATCATGTACTGTTTCCTGCTTAAGTAGCATACATCTCACAACCAGCCAGATGCATTTAAAATTAGCTGAGTTGAGTTGAATTTTTTGGACTTTTTCTGCAGTAAAATAGATGAGATTATATACAAAACTAGTTCAGTGTCTCCATCTGAGGTTTTTGTTGAATCCCAGATAGCCTCTATTTTAACAGCGTCTGAGACTGTATCTCTTGAACTGTTGTCTAATCTTGTGTTGGCGTCGAATCTTAATACCTCCCTCCTCTACCAGCTGTGCTTTCTGAAGAGGTTTTGGGACCTATAATGCCAAATATTGTTAACTTATCACTTAGAACCGTCATTGTCCCCACTTGCTTCAAAAATGTCATGTTAAACCACTGCTGTACTTAAGAAAGCACATGTTGATCCAAAGTCTCTTAATAATCATCAACCGTGTCTGGTTCAATCCATAAGACGACGTTACTCAGCTGTGTGTGCCTATAAAGGTAGATGATGACTCCCGTTTTATTTAGAGGTCTGCTTGTCTTCTGTGAAAAGTTAGATGTCACATAATTTCCTGGTCCTCAAGTTTGATAAAACTGATGTGCTGACACTGATGCCAGTTTGATCAAGCAACAGTAACTCTTGACAACTGTGTGATTTCTCAAAGTCTGATGGGAAAGCATCTTGGTGTCGACATTTGATCCTACCATCTCCTTTGATCAGCACATTAAAGCCATCACCAAGACATCCTGCAAAATTTGGTCTTTTCTGCTCTTAGCTGATGCATAATTTGCGCATTTTGTCTCATCCAGACTTGATTATTATAAGAATTTGTAACATTTCCCTTCAAATGGTTTAAAATACTACAGCGAGAAATGTTTTTTTATCCAGAAAATGTATGCATTACACTAGCTTTCACTGGCTGCATAGCTATGTCACATCACATTTTAGGTTCTTCTAATGACATGCATACAGTATTGTTCAAAATAATAGCAGTACAATGTGACTAACCAGAATAATCCAGGTTTTTAGTATATTTTTTATTGCTACATGGCAAACAAGTTACCAGTAGGTGCAGTAGATTCTCAGAAAGCAAACAAGACCCAGCATTCATGATATGCACGCTCTTAAGGCTGTGCAATTGGGCAATTAGTTGAAAGGGGTGTGTTCAAAAAAATAGCAGTGTGGCATTCAATCAGTGAGGTCATCAATTTTGTGAAATAACAGGTGTGAATCAGGTGGCCCCTATTTAAGGATGAAGCCAGCACTTGTTAAACATGCATTTGAAAGCCTGAGGAAAATGCGTCGTTCAAGACATTGTTCAGAAGAACAGCGTACTTTGATTAAAAAGTTGATTGGAGAGGGGAAAACCTATAAAGAGGTGCAAAAAATGATAGG